GATACCAGTAAAACGGGAACATCTACAGTTTATTCCCCAGGAGAACGTGCTAGTTGAGTCTATTCTCCATAGGAACTACAGAATTTCATAGTCTCATTTTTCAAATTTAAGTCTTTAAAAAGAGAAGTCCCCTCACTGTAGAATAATGGCTGGACTGGTGACAGCACCGGATTGTTTTCATTTTGCTGCTGACTGATTTGGCAGTTCACGGCTATAGGTCTGTGTGAATGATCTATCTTCCTTATCTTAAGTTTTAAAAAAGCATCTTCTCTGTTGTAAAAACAGTCTTTTCTGAAAGATTAGGTGAAATAATATGTCTTCCATTCTTCCCTATCTTATTGATTTTAATATGATATTTTCTTTATAGTAATTCATTACTTATATGTTTTCCTTGGCTATAAAAGTTGTTTTTTAAAGTAGGTCCATAAGCCAAAGCATAAGCGAGAGCATATTTTTGCCACAGATGTGTTTAACTAATATCATACTACTACTAACAATAATTTAAAAAAATAGAAATAAAATTAAAGAGCTAAAAGGTAAGGTCAGTCCTAGCCTCCATTTTCTTGAACCAGAAATTCTTTTCCAAGCAGGTGTAGGGGAATACCTGGTCAAGTGTCATTCTGTTGAAGCAAAAGTCTATTTTTCTTCTTCCTGCAAACAATACAGAATACAAAAGGTATCTGTCTAACTATTATATCTTTTTTCTTGGAAAACCATGATCATACACCAGAGATAACATTATGATCCACTTTCTTAGAATCTGAAATAATTGCTCTAAGCAGTGGAGAAGTCTTCCAATTCATTTATGTACTATTCACTAGAGTGGTTGAACTGATACTTTTGCTCATGCCAGAGCTTGTACAACAGGCAGTAAAATAGTATCACTCAGGGGCAGGTTTAACATCACTTTGATAGCTATTAAATATGACGTGTAGCCATCAACACCCAATCCAATAGAGAGCAATGCATCTTATCAAGGGACCGACCAACTAAAATAGGATTAACAAAGGAAAATGAAATCAAACTACAAGTAAAGTTTTGTATAATAGGAAATTCTATGCATTATTTCAGAGGAAGCAGCTCATGTTAAAGTTTTAAACTTTGATTTCCTGTTTCTATTCTTCATAATTCAATGGCTGGTCAGCCCAGATGTAACTGAGGTTACATTCCTTAAAAAGTACCAAGCACCTGATAAACTGCATAAAAAATTTATAGAGAAAAGGCTGGAAGGTGTGAAAGGATATCTTCTCTCTCCCAGAAAGAGGCTAAATGAAGATGGGTGTTGTCTTTCAGTTAATCCTAGTCTCTTCCATTTGCTGAGGCCTGAAGAGTCTTTTCTCTAAAAATGGAAAGATTTCAGCATCATATGTAATTGACTGCAGGACCTTGTGTATGAGATCTGTTTAAAAAGTTTTCTAAGCTTCTGAAGAGTTTCTAAAAGTTGCTTGGCTTTTTTTGTCATTTTTTTATTCCTAAGTCTCAGGAGAAAATTTGAAAACCACAGGGCAAGGAAGCAACGAAACCTAGCTTTTGCATACTCTCAATGCTTAATATTCAAATTATCACAATTGCCTCTCCCAAGTTTCTTTTTGGATAAATGTTGTAGATTTCAGTAAAGCAAGACTACACCTTGTAGCATCAGGTCCCTCTGTGATACCAGAAGAGAATGTCTAATCTTTGGACCTGAGTAAATCCACATGAAACTCTTCAACTCCGACAGACCAAAGCACCTCCTGACCTTTGATGTCAAAACTTGAGGACTAAGGCATTATCCAGCACAGGCAGCTGTAAGCAGAAGCTCTGTAGCTGAGAATTAACCTGCCCCAATCTTGTAATTAAAAATAAAATTGAAACTAAATAAAATGCAATAGTTATTTGTCTATATGTGGATATGAACCCAGTTGACTGAGCAAGGTGGAAATTGTTCTGACATTTCAGGGCTTCACAGACCTTACAAAGACTAATAAGACTCGATCAGTACCACAGTGAACTCTGAGTTTTTTGCTAAAGTTCCTAAGGCAATGTTCAAAGAGAAAGTGCAAGACTGCAAGTGAATGTACAGACTAGTCATTTGAACATGGAGCAAGTTCTGTCTTTCAGCTTAGAGTACAAATATAACCATGGTTATTCTTACTCTGAGGCAAAATATAGCCTGGCAGGAGGCATTGCCACATCTTCAGAACTTTGAAGTTTCCTGTATAACCAGAAGAAGTTTAGAGGTCTAGACATACCTGAAAAAAATACAGGCATATAGAAAATATGGGTGTTTCACCAGTTAGGAGAAGTTCTATGTATCAAGATTCTCAATTTGTCATGAAATCAGCTGTAAGTCTATTTGTGGATTTCATGTCTTGTCACAAACTGGTACTGCAGTTCATTACTTTCATAGAGCAGACGGGGGTGGGGGGGAATTAATGTTAAAGTTTAGAAATTTCAAAATCCAGTCATGAAACTGAACTTGGATCCATTATAACCATTCATCAAGAGATTTTATGGAAAAAAAACATTAATATGGAAAATGATGTGAATTAGTGAAAACAGTAGAGAAACTAAAAATACCGTATACTGAATGTGTCATCAAGACACAGCTGTTTCTCTTGAAACAGCTATGTTTTGATTATAAATAGATGAAGGAAAACTTCTAAACCATTTATAAAGGCTTAATTCAAGTTTTTCTGGCTTGAACTAAATTCCAGGTTCTTGCTAGTTTTAGAAATCCACCAGTAAAGATACAAGAAATTTCTTCAGGCACTGGTTTTACAGCAAAGTCAATAAAAATATAAGCTGAGATATGGAACTTCATTTCAAGCCACATATGTTATGATGGAGATATATGTGCTACACTAAGCAAATTCATGCCTAAGGAAAGGATGAAGATGCTTTTTTTATGCTGGCACAATAATGTTTTGGCTTCCATGGGTTTTGTAGATGTGTTGATTTCCCAGTTGTCCTCACCTGTGAGGCATTTGTCTTGCCATGGCAAAAAAAACCCCAATCAAAACCCAAACCCAACCAACCAAACAAAACCCGCAAAAAACCCACAAACGGAAAAAAACAAACCAAACCAAAACAGAGCAACCTAAAGAAACCGTCAGAATCCCAAACAGCAAAGATCTGGAGTCATATAGGTCACACAAATGCTGTGAGAACTGATGTTATGAATTAGTTTGGGACAGGCATAAGAGAGCCCCAATTCAGGACGTTGAATACAGGGCAGATGGCAATAATGCCCTGTAATGGAGAGGTTGACCCCTCTTCTCTGAAATGTTGCTCTTGCCCAGCCTTTCCCAATGGCAGTTTGCTGACACGTCACCGTAGTCATGGGAATTCACTCACAGTACCACCAGCTGGAAGTGATAGAGCATTCACTGCACACTGAGCTGGCTTTCTCTGCTGGAAAAAACATCGGTGCCTTTCTCTCCATGTGAGATACTGGGAGTATCTGTTAATAACAGTGTGAATTAAGAATTTTTTAATTTGTATTAACACCCAAGAAGGCAGCATATGATCGATGTATAAAATCATGAAATAGAGCTAAGGAATAATTTTATCTCATTCCTCTTGTGGCTGTAGGCAACACTTAAACAAAGGAGAATGGTAGAGTTTAAAAGATAAAAAAGTTACTTGACAGGTTGGTTTAGCAGTGAAGAATCACTGTGCAGAATAAGAGTTCTGTCTTTACTCAAAGTTTAGCCAAAGGATTGATAAGAATTGCTTCATTCATTGCATCTAACGCCAGTTACTCATCTGTTTTTATATTACATTTGAGGAGTTACAGTTCAGCCCCAGATCAGGTAGCATGTAGAAGTCTTCACCAAAGGTATTATTCAGTCAGTCAGGCATAAATAATATTGGTTGCCAGTTTGAAGCATGACACTGTTGGGGCTCTGGCTCTTATTAAATTTCAGGTTAGATATTTGAGTAATTTCTTGTTTAAAGAAGAATCTCTTTTAAGTGCTTGTATAAGAGTTTACAGTTCACCAAAATAACATAAAATCTCCTTAAGTCTTTATAGAAGAATAAGTTTACAAAAAAAGTATTTTCTATCTTCAGTATATATGCTCATTCAGTTTAAATAGATGAAACATTACAATAAGAGATGTGTTAGAACACATTTAACAACAACAACAACAACAAAAACCACAAAAAAACCCCTGCATTAATATTCCCAGACAATTGAGTTATTCAATATGAGAATAGCTACTCTATTGTTCCTATATTAATTATTTTGTGCAATGTCACTGTGTCCTTTTTCATTTATATTTCTCAACTTGCTAAATGCCAGATACTGGAAGATTTGTTCATGTAGTGCAGTAATATCCAAAATACAAAATAAGGCAATCTGAAGTAAAACTAACATATGCTATACTAGCACCAAATGGTCTTAAATTAGATTAAGGCATCTCCTGTCAAAATATGTGCATTAAAATTCTAGGCCTGTAGTGAGATCCAGATGGGTAGAAGCAGTTGAGAAATATAATGCAGGAGCTGTGTTATGTCTATGCAGGGGTGGAGGCCTTCATACAGTGTCTGTGGCTGTAGATTGTGTATTTATACATCCTTTCAGACTCCTCTCTTTCTCAAAATCACCAAATGCGAAGAACATTTCATGAGGAGTGTGAGGAAGGCCCACTGGAACTTTCATTTTTGCAAGATTATTGTAAGAAAGATTTCAGATGAATAACTGGTTTTCTGTAACTTTAGTCAGAAAAGCAGTGTTAATCAATCTATCCCTATTATTCTTTTTTCCCTTCAGGCTGTTGATTTGAACAATTAACATGACTGGAGAAAAAATACGGTGGTATACTGATTGGTTTAGAATACCTTATTCTATGTGGAAATAAACATTTGCAAAAAATGATAAAGCAATACTTGAATGTAAAATATGAAAGTGAAAGTGTTTGCAGCATGTGATTTTGATAAACTACATTTTTTCTTTTTGTCAGTGGTACTGATGTCTTACAAGTCTTTTAGTAACCCACTGTTCCTGCCCTGTACAGCAAGGTCTACTAACCACCGACCTGCAGAAAGTTCTGTCTCCACTGGCTCATCAGCCAGTAGTTTTGGCAGTGGATACAGCATGGATAGCGAAGGCAGCAGCAGTACCACAGGAGAGAATAATCTATTTCCCATCCCGAGAATGTAAGGCTTTTCCTTTAATATATTTCATCCTTCATGCACAATTTATAGCCCTTTCACTTACCAGTCATCTTCTTTCATAGTTTCCTCTGCAGACTTGAGTGATGCAGTAGAATAGCAGCTAACTGGGGAGAATTCCTCTGTGTACATTGTTTTACTCTGCCCTGTTGAGCACTGAGTTGTTAATAACCAACCAAACCTCTGCCTCAACCTCATGAATTTTTTCTCCTGTCACACAGGAGAGGTGTTAGTCTAAGCCTTTGATGAAAGTGTGTAGTGTTGGCTTTGGCTTATGTTTTAGTAATACAACTTTTCCAGGCCTAAGAATGCTTAGTTTAAGTTTTCAGATTTTCCTCCTGTTACTAATGCAAGTGGAATTCATATTGTGGTTATAACCCTACTTCTCCCAAGTTTTTAGGAGTTTGAGTAGAATTTTCAGTTCTTGGTTGGAAAAAATCTTTTTTGGTGCAGAGTCCCTGTAGGAATTATCAAGCTGTGATGATAAGGTGTAATGATCCTATAAAATGGTTTAATTTTCAAAATATTTCACCCAGTTAAGTACTCTACAGAGAAAAGGTTTGCCCGGATTTTTTCCCCTCAGCTCTGTCAGCATGCACCTTCATTTAGCAATTTCATTTATATTCCTTTATAGGACAAAGTAACTTTTCCTGATAAATTTATTCATTCTGACCATTCTCAAAGTATTAGCTGGTGGTCATTGCTCACTCACTGTCTGCAATAGTTCTTTTTCTCTGGAGCACAAGTTTTTTGCTTTTCCCTTGTCATCCTGAGCTATTAGTCACAGAAGATATAGGCTTCCTAGAAAACTTGAATGAAGTAAAAGTCCTTCTCCAGAATGGTGATATTTCTATGATATTTATTATTTTCTAAAATAAAGCCCAATAGCATTTGTCTACAACTTGTTAGTAGATAAAGGAAAAATAGAGATAAATCTAATATTTCAATCTCATCTTCAGAATTTAAGAGGATGATGTGAGCTCAGGTTGCAGGGTGCCAGTTTTTTGATCTTCATTGAATTTTTCTGTCACGTTCTTCTATGTTAAAAAGAGTTGTACTTCCCAGTGGCAAAAAAAGATGATTTTAATCAACTTTGGCAACAAAAGAAAAACATTGTGCCCTATTTCCTAATGAGAAAAGCAAAAATTAATATAATCTTTGTTCGCAAAAACACAAGATGGAGCTCTCAATAGAAATTTTCAGTTCACACATGCTAAGTTTGAGTCTAAATAGTATCATTTACTGTGTATTGCTTAGCAATGTGACAGTACCTACAGTTACTTGGTACTTGGCTGACAGAGTCACTGGTCTCTTAAGCCTGAAATCAGCCCTACTTCTATTGAAAAACAGGAATAAGTCTCCACAGCTTCAGCATTTCTCTTATAGCAAGTTGTTCCCATGAATTACACTTAATTAAATAAAATATATCCAGGCCTCTTACTTTCTGTTAAGGATAAACTATTTTTTTCTTTATTATGACATTGTAAAGTAAATTATGTTTATGCTGATGTTAGACAGAGACTTTAACAGTTACACAGGAAATTTATACGAACAAGACATGCTTTCTTTTTCATGTTAGTCTCCAGGGCTTTACAGCAATGTAATGAAAATGAATAACAAAATTGCTGTTTACCATCAGATTGTTCCTGAAAGAATCTTTAGTGCAGACAACTGTTTCTATCTTGAATTCTGTATAAAAATTCTTGTTGATCTGCATATATGTATGATTGATATTCTAGCTAAAATTTGCATTCACACTGGCTTGGTAATGACTTCAGGGACTCTGACATTGTACACTAATTCAGCATATCCACAAGACGACATCTCACCTATTGAATGTGAAGTGTTAAGCACACTAAATACTTTTAAGTATCTTGGCATTTAAATACCTCTTTGGTTATTGTCTTCCTGCTTAGACTAAGTTTTTGATTTATCAATAGAAGACATGTTGGATATGCTAAGTTTTAAACTCTACTTTAGTCCAAATGCTTTTAGCCAGAGGAACAATTAGTCTTGAAGCAAAATAAAGTAATTAAATAGTGACACCATGGGAATTGTTTGATGAGGTGACTAATTAGAATACTTGCCAATATTAAATAGCTATAACTATCAAGGGAAATTAATTATTATACACAGTTACACTGAGTGGAATATGTCTTTTAAGGTCTTTCTACTTTGGAATTTTTTAAAATATTCTTATTATCCATTTGTAATATTCCTGAAAGTTACACGTTATCGTCTCTGATAAAGACCAGGTTCTCTATGACTTCGTGTTGTGTAACCCCTTTATAACAGTACAATGTCTATACAATTATATTCATTTTGAATGCAAAAGTGAAAATGTATAATGTATAAGGAATATAACCCTTGGGACAAGTAATTCTTGTATTATATCTATGATATGATTTATGAAGCATTAGCTGCAGAAGAAGAAAATAATATCTTTCAGTTAAAATTGAATATAAAATAACTTTTTAAAAATGTAATTTTATACTAATTTTTAGTGCACTGTGAGTTTGGACGGCTTCTGTTGCTGAGACATGAAGCTACCACATTTGTAGCAAAGACCAGTGCTGACCCTTTAACCCCAAAGGAATCACATGCATCTGAAGATAATGTCTTATATTCTGTATCACAGCATTTCAGAGTCTTAAGGGAGAAAGGAAACTAGAAGCACAAATGTCTGATAGTAGCAGGCATCTTTGAGAGTGATTGTAATCATGCCTTAGAGCTTGCAACAAGTATATTTAGATAACTTACGTTTTGCCTAGCTTTCACTGCCTAAAAATAGACATCAAGATTGTAATGCAGGTTCTTTCTACACACAGTGCAGGAAAATAGGGATCTCCAGAGCGTGATTTGTTCAATTCACTTTAATATAAGTCTTCAGAAAAGAATTCTTTCTTATGCTAAATCTGAACTGTAAAGTAAAACAATCATTAAAAGAAGACAATGACCACAAGTATGCCTTACCTTTAAAGTAATGGTGTTGTAGTTGCCTTGTAAAGAGAAAAAAAATAATATTCTTAAGTGTTTTATTCAAATAGCAACAACAAAAAAACCTAGCACTTTATTTTCTTAAAACTATATATATATGTATATATATACAGATTTATTTATTTTTTTTTAGAAATACCTGTGATGTTTGTCTTTTTGTAAAGAACCAAGTCTCATTGGCTTGGGTGTATCATTTTCTTAGCTCTCATCCATTTATGTTCTTATTGACAACAACCACCATATCTTTTAACAGAGGGAAGATGAACCAGAATGGACAAGAACCAGTAAAGCAGTCAGGAGTAGGATTAGCCGACTCAGAAGGTAAAAAGAAATACAAACAGCACTACAGTGGTATCCCATATTTGTAGAACTGATATGTCTTTGTCTTTTACTTGTTATGCTATGAAAAATTAGTCTGTGCTCTCTTTGCATTGTGGATTAAGATCTTAACCTTCATTTACGCTAAGGACTCTTTACACATAGCACCAGTGTAATGAGTCTTCAGTTCAAATGAGAACAGTGTCTTACCTGTTTTTTTAAGTAATTCAGTAGTTATATTACAATAAAGAATGTCTGTCTTTTGACATCCATTGCTTTTCACGGTGTTCAAATAAAAAATACAGAGTATGGAGCTGACTCAATGCTCATTGAATTCAAAGAAAATACCCAACGGCTGTCAGACTCTATTTTTATAAGATTTCAGAATGTTTACTAATAAAGCTATTGTTATTATTATTATTATTATTAGTGTTTACATAAAACATTAAGTTTAAATAAAAATATTAGCTAAACATCAGGCTTGGCTGCTGCACTTAATGCAGATGCATTATAGTGAAACCCTTATTGGCTTGTGAAATCCTGAGTGATTTTGTTCAGTATGAAAGTGGCGCTGACAAAGAAGGAGACACTGTAATACTGGAGCTGGAAAGAGCCTGACAGAATGACTTTCAAAGCTTCATGAGCGATGTGATTATATCTTTCATGTGTAATAATGGACAACCACATAAAAATTACAGTGTTTTTTCCTGAAGGACTTGTTAGGAAAATTCCATTTGCCTTTTTATATAAGGTATATTTTTTCAAGTGTATATTTCTGTTGACCTCAAATATAAAATTTAATTGTCATGTCCTTCATTTTATTGTTAAGACTTTTAGATGCATTTCAATGCATCTCTATTAATTAATAAATTGAAATTCATATATACAAGTGGTAAATTGATCTTAAGTTCAGCCATTTAAAAAAATCAAATTTTTCAGGTTTCTACAATCTGTATACATGGGGAAATAATTGCTGTTGCTATATTTGATGTAAAAGCTGGCTAATGTTACACAGAGTTGGAGAAAGCAAATTAGTATTTGAAGATAGAACTGTAAAGCTGTCTTTTCCAAAGCAAGAATTCTCAACTGTGTACATGCATTCTACTAAATGTTTCCATTCATAATACTCATCATACAAAAATCCAAATTAATCCGCTTCTCAAACTTCAATTTCTCAATAGTATTTTTAAGTATTTGAAAAACAATCTATTTTTAAAGAGGGAAATGGTGAAGTGAAAAGGGGAAATCAGAAATTTTCCATTTTTACTTTTTACTATCATGGTAAATTTTATACCGAATGATAACCATAAAAAAATACCTTTTCATCTTTTTGTTTATCATAAGTTATGCCTTTGGTAAGGTCTTGTATATAAATTAGAGAGCCTATAAAATATTTTTATTTCTTATTTCTATCATTAAATAAATCCTAAATCAAACAAACAAACAAAAACAACCCCTACCTTTATAAACATTCTGAAAGATGTATATATAGTATTTGGTCACTAAAATTACTTTTCCAGTCACAGCTGTGTTTCTGCTTGTCTTCAAAATCTGCAAATAACTCAAGAGCTGTAATTCCCTAATTTTCACTTATGATGTAATCCACCTCTCCTACCTTGAGAACTCTAAGCATTACAACTCCAAGCATGATAAAATGAGTAGTTCTTACTAAGTGCTGTTTCTCACCATTGAGGGAAGCTGGTACAGCCAGCCTGGTTTTTGGTGTCTGATTTCTAGTTGACTAAGATAGGAGAGATCAATCTCAAAGGATAAATTAAACTAAAAGCTGGAAAACAATTCAAGAGCATTTCAGTTTCAGCATGTAAACATAATTAGCTTGTGGGGAAGCTGTTCAGAATTTAGAGGAACTCAAGATTAACTGAGTATTACTTCAGTATTGCAAAATTGTGTTATTCTTTTCAGGGATGAATGAAAAATCTTAGAGATCAAATTATACCTTTTCTGTAGTTCAGTTATCTGTGTTGGGGACCAGAGGAGCTCTGCAATTAATTGGAAACAAATGTTCATCCCCATTTTTCATTAATTTGTAGCGAGCTCCCAGAGCTGACATTTGTATTCTCATTTGCAAATAATGATTTAGTGTTATATTTAAAAGCGTTTAATACTGGCACTATTTTTTTAACATTTTTGACTACTCGGTGCATATCTTCTGTAAAAAGTAGCCTTTGGGTTAGTCTCTTTAAAATGGGGCAGAATAAAGTTGTTTGCTTGAACATGTGAATCTGCTACTACTTTAAATGTTTTAGTCATCCAAGTAATTCACACAGGCCTGACAAATATGTCATGGAACTTACAGAATCTTTAGGACCAGTAGCTGGAGGAAAGTGAGGTAGGACCCTCAAATGGCAATGAGAACTGGTTTCTAGGCAGCTGAGTCAAAACTGTAGCAACAGGGCTTGGGTTCGTCTCACTGCATATGACACCAAAATTTAGGCATGTACATAAGTGGAATCACCAGGGAAAAATATGCTCCTTTTGTAATTGTTTGCCTACTTGAGAAATGTGTTAATGTTTTGTTGGAGTAGTTTTTGTGCTATTAAGATGTATTAGTATAGTTACAAGTAAATATTGGAAAACAGTACTATTTACACAGTATTTACACAACCAAATAGTCAATATAAACAACTGTGAGTATTGATATGATAATCTTTGTTTCTCTGAAATATCATCTTGTTATATTCTGTATTTTTGTACTACTTAAAATATAAAAATAATTCAGAGTTTTGTTCTTGGACACTGTAATAGTTATTTTTATGATATGCATTGTTGCATGCTGTCTTACTCTGGGCATTCTGCTCTGAGCAGATGAAATACTTGATCTTCTTAAGCTTCAGTTAATCTTATTATACATATTGTGATCTTCATTGAGTTATGCAAGCCAATTTCTGTATTTGTTTCAGAAAGTGCAATATACTTTGTTCAAAGATTTCTTATGATATGCTATGGAGTATTACAGACGTTACAGACAAAAACCTCAATTGCATCCATGTAAGGATTGAAACCAACAATTAAAAGCACATGTTTAATATCTTGATTCAGTTGTAGATCATGATTGGTCTATCTGCCCCATGATATTGCTCAGCCAATAGATCCCAGATATTATTTTCCACCTACGAACTATTTATATAACCAAAAAATAAATGGGGAAAATGATTTTTTTATATTTCAAAAGTGTGATCTTACTAGGTAATCCCACAATGCCATTATTTGTAGTAGAAGAGAGATATATATGTGAATAGCATTGTAATTGACATTTTGGATCTTTTACTTTTGAAGATTCTAGATGCATGCAAAATGTTGTTCCTCTAGAATGATTAGCGTTGAGGTTCACCTAAAGAAAAGACTCTTCTAGGAGTATTTCAGGGATTTTTTTTGAGTGAATGAGTACTTACAGTTCTTTTGTCATCCTCTGTGCTTGGCCTCATTTCTTCAGTCAGACAATTGTAATCTTTATATAAGAACAGAGTGGTTGCCCGCCCACATCTTCCAAGAGAGTGGGAGGTTTTTACCTTTTTTTTTTTTTTAATGCTGTCCAGTCCATGTGCTGAATACCAAAAAACTTCTCTACATAGTTCTACCATGTCTCAGAGGTTCACTTTCTGACCTTTCCAGTGGTCCTTTGAGCAACATCCTTTGAGTGTGATAAAACAAAGTTCTGTAAGAAACTCTCTCCCTCTACAAATGACTGAACCTGAACAGAAAATTTCAAAATGTTCCAGTTAAGCCTCAGTAGATGTATTTCCACAGGCAAACAGAAGGAATAGATTTTTACATAGCAAATTTTTTTTATAGTAAAAATCTAAAGAAAGATGCACACACACTTACTGAATTTCTACAAGATGAAACACTCGTAATATGCACTTGTTAAGTATAATCTTTAGTGAACTCTTTCAGGATTTTTCCTTTTTATGCATGCTATGTATTTGTCTAAGTTACAGATTAAAGAAAAGAAAAAAAAAAAAAAAAAAAAAAAAAAAAAAAAAAAAAAAAAAAAAAAAAAAAAAAAAAAAAAAAAAAAAAAAAAAAAAAAAACAAAAAATCCACCACAACAATAACAAAAAAACCACAAAACTTCTAACATGTTCTGTGTTCATGCTTTAAAAGGCAAATTTTACAGTACTGTGATTTTTATGGTGTCTATTCCTAGTAGTCTAAGCTAAAAAACACCTTTTTTTTTTTTCTTACTTTTTGAGCTTTGTGGTACATCATCCTGGATTACAAACTAAGAAATTCAGTTTTAACAGTATTATCACTTATCTCTGTATTTCAGTAATTAATACGGTCTAATCTTTATTTGTGAGAAAAATAGTTGAAATACCAAGCAAACCTTAAAACATGCCAGGAAATCATTCTAATAATGTTTTGGAGGAAAGATGCATGACCTCTGTCAGTGACTGGCAATCATTTGACTTCTAAATTTTCCTTCATAGCTTTCTGAATAGTCCTGGTGAAATTTTCATCCCTCATGTCTGTACAGAATAGACCCTGGAACAAACTGCCTTGCAAGGTGTATCACACTTTCTATTGATGAGGAGTACCCAGGAGTAATATGTGGATTACCTCTCTTGAGTAAAATAAGGCATGAAACAAACTGACAGCACAGGCACAATTAAGCATCCCCACATTCTTCAAAGTAATTAAAACTCAGAAAAAAACTCCTTTTACTTGTTCTTTAGCTAGGCTAGAGTAACACTGTTTAAACCACAGGACTTACTGTGGTATGACTGAGAACAGACTTATGACTTGAGATGTTCTCTAATCAACTTGCTGCATCTCTGCTTCTTAAAAAAATTAGCATGTTGATTTCTTTTAACATCAAAGGTTGAAATATCAGAAGTATAATATTCGTCCTTATGAGGATGCTCAGCAAAAAATTTCCTAATTTTGTATCTTCAGTCAGGAGGAGAAAAAAGACAGATGAAGGAAATTATTAATGGGTAATCATGATAGAGTTACTGAGATTTGCAAATGCTTTTGCCTATGTACAAATCTGTACTTTGATGTCTGAGCTGTCCAGACTGAAAAGAGGGGGTTTACTGCAGATGAGAAGCTTTTCTTGCATTAGAATTAAATTACTTTGTTTAATAATATTAAGGTGAATCTTATTGACCTTGCACAAGCAATGGTGAAAATGCTGAGACTGGGAAAAATGTAGGACATAGATTAGGTTATATATTAAATTTATGTAACTTCAGAATTATCTGAGACTTCCCTTCTTTCATAATCAAACCTAATTTATATTGTTGCATCTATCAGACATAATTTCTTTGAAACATAACTTCATTTTAGGCCATCTAACATGAATATCAGAAAGACATATTTAGCTGGTTTTCCCTCACAAGCCTTTTTCAATTAAACTGTTTTTAAATATAAAAGCAATTCAAAATGAAGTGAGCATTAAATTTATAGACACTATCTCCCTCAAAGGTGCATAAGGGAAACCATACTATAAAACAGCCAGTCATTTGTTTTAAATGTTTGGACTGAGTTCTTTGATGTTTAGTGGAGTAGTGGTATAATTTATGGAAGAAAATAAATAAATTTTAAAAGTGATAAAGAGACTCTAAGATGGATGTGTTGGACTTAGACAGGAGGGATTTATATTAATTTATGGAATGTAGTAGATTTTCTGGTGTTTTGATGCCAAAATTAATGAAATTCCCAGAAGCCCCGAGAGGGTCATGCTGGAGGATCTCCATCTTGGAGGTTCTCTATCATCTCAGCTGCCCTTGGATACAGAATAAAGGTCACCCTTGCTGTAAAATAGACAAACATAAGTTACAATCCTGATAGCAGCAAGTGGTGTCTGGTGTTTCTCTGGAGTCTGGCAGTATGGCATTTTAGGATTGCATGCTCACTTTTAGTAATATATCACCACTTTAGGCCAGTGTTACAAAGTGCAGCAGAACCTAGTTTTATGTGCTAGAATTTGTCCCTGCTGATATCGAACTCTTCTCATGGATTATATGATGATTTTAAATAATATACAGGTATTGTAAATGTACCCCTAACTTCCTTTGATATGAAGAAAATTCTCTGCTAATGATTAAGCCAACTGCCTTTGTTGGTTTTTTTTTGTTAGTAATCAGAAAAATTTTGTTATATTCCTTCTTCCAGAAGGCTCAATAGTAGAATAAAACACAACCTGCAAAGTGAATAGAGTGGGAGAGAGTTTAGACAGGGCTTATATCTGCTAGCAGTACTGAAAGATGGGTGGTGAATTAACTGAGAACATCTTTGCAGAGAAGGACTTGGATAAGAAATTAGACATGAGGCAGTGATGTGTGTTTGCAGCCCAGAAAGTCGAGCCTATCCTGAGCTCCATCACAAGAAGCATGGCCAGGAAGTCAAGGGGGGTAATTCTGCCCCTCTGCTCTGTTCTTGTGAGACCCTGCCTGGAGTGCTGCTTCCAGCTCAGGAGTCCTTGGCACAAGAAAAACATGCACCTGTTAGACTGGGTCCAGAGGAGGGGCACAAAAATGATCAGAGGGATGGAACACTCCTCCTATGGAGACAGGCTGAGGGACCTGGGGTTGTCCAGCCTGGGGAAGAGAAGACTCTGGGGACACCTTGTTGTGTCCTTCCAGTATATAAAGGGGGCTTATAAAAGAGGCAAAACCTGTTTACTGGGGCCTGTAGTCACAGGAAAAGGGACACTGCTTTTAAACTGAAAAACATTAGATTTAAATTGGCTGTAAGAAAGAAATGTTTTATAACTAGGATGGGGAGGCACTGGAACACGTTTCCCAGAGAAGTAATGGGTGCCCTGTCTGTGGAAGTGTTCCAGTCCTGACCACAGGGTGGGATTGGAACTAGATGATGTTTAAAGACCCCTTCAAACCCAAACCATTCTATAACTCTGTGATATGAAAGAGTTGACAATGATTATTGAAAGGTTCAACACACAAACTACAAATATGCCTGTGCTGTGTGAGTGGTGTTCTGGGAACAGTTGCCCATTCAGGCAAAGGTGTTTTACAGTTATAGAAGTAGAAATATTTTTCTCCTTCCGCAGTGGTTTCTTCTGTACCTTTGATTAGGAGCATCAGGCATCCACATTTCTCTCAATTCACCCAGTGTTTTGTCTTGAACAGATAGTCAGTAGCTCTGTGCCACAAAAATTCCACTTTCTTTTCAGTTTCTTGCATTTGGATTGAGATTCAATTCCTGAAACAGTCAGGATGTCACATGTATAGTATTGGGTAGCAAGAGTCTGAGAACTGCTATTTTGAAGGGAAACTACAAGTATCATTACATATCATACAACTGCTCATTTCTATGCTTATGTCAGGAATTGACTGAATAGACAAAGGAATTGTGAATCCACATGCTTAGGGTTACTAGCAAGAGTAGCCTCCAATTTACCTGCAAATCATACACTAGAATGTATTTATTTTTCTTAAATTTAGTCAAATTGAACTGAAAATTCCTATAATTTCTGACTCATAACGATACGCCTAACAGCATATAGATCACCAATAAATTACCAGGTCAGAACCAGTCACTTTCACTGGTGGGAAATTTTAAAATAGTTCCATGTTTCTGCAACAGGTCTTGATCCAATTCTTTCCAAGGCCTTTTCAGACTGGTGTCTCAAAAACACAAGGAGCACCATCTATTAACTTCTTGCACAAAGGTCAAATACTCCCATTGCTGTTTGCTCTCTTGGCAATAACTCAAAACTCAGGAGTCTTGCACATTTAATCCTAACATATACTAAAATGTAAGAGAACCTGGAAAAAGTCTGGACATTCAAGTATTTTTCTTGAACCAGTAGAATCTTGAACTGACCCAGTATGAGACTGTTGATTTGACTGTAATGGATATTGATCCATGGATTTAAAGAGTAATCCAGACAATCTGAAATGTTACCAACACCGACTTGAACAGTGATTGAATTGCATTTTTTGGTTTTGAGTTCATGTCTCATAGTATGTAGCAAAAGAAATTGCTGCACACTCTCAGTATCTTTCCTAAAGAGCAATGTAAACCTGGTGATCTCTTTTTTAAAAAACATTTTTAGTGGCTGCAATATTTACTTTTATAGTCTTATTGACATTCTGATTTACATATAGAAGAGGTCAGTTCGTGAAATAGAATATTACTGAATAAAATGTGATCCTTTCCCAGGAAGAAGTCCAACTGAAGGAATCAGAATATTTGCCAAACCTTTCTACTATCCCTATAAATAAAAAGGCTAAAATTCAACCTGACATTGTTTAAACTGTCTTTAATATGAAATCACAACCTTGTTTTCTGCTATTACCTTCTACCAAGGGTCTGCCATTTACTACCCTTGACAGCACAAGTTTAATCAATGCCACCAAAATTTAAAGCAGAAAATACCAGCAAAGGTAATTTCTCACATGAGCAGCTTCTACAATACCAAAGGAAAAAAGGGACATAAGGGAGTAAAAAATAAGTGCTGAAAGCACTTGCAGCTAGACTGTTGATCCCCCCATCCTATACCTCCGTTATTTTAAGGAATGGAAATTTCAGTTTTAAGAATTGAACAGATATACTTCCTGTCACAAGGGATCCTTAAGCAATGAATCAGGCCTATGCGCTGTCAGTAGTCCTTATCCTCTCTGTTGTTTTTTAGAAAGGTGTCTGTATTTTATACGTGCTTCCTTAAGCTAGGGATAGCCTTACTACTAATGCCTAAATACCACACTTTAAAGAAGTGAGTCAAGATAGACAACAGCAGTATTATAAACCTAAGTATTATCAGCTCTAAACTTGGAGAAGTATTTTTTATCTATCCCTAATTGTCCTCACATTCTCATTTCCCACCTGGCTCTCCAGTAATAATTGGAGCAATTAGTTCTGTCTTCCAGAGGTATTTGCCAGTAAAATCCAGATGCTTTTCCTAAAAAGAAGCAGAAAGAATTTAAATAAGAATAAAGACTGCAGCCAGAGATAGAAACATAGAGGGGAAAAAAGAACAAGCTAATATTCTGTGTTCTTGTATCCATGTCACAAACAACATTGATTTACATTGTTACAAATCAGCCTGTTCCTGAATTGTCACTATAAAGTGTCATCAAAAGAGAAGTAAATAATCCAAGGACATTGACTGTGATTAACTAGTGGCTGGCCAACAGCTTCTGCCACTGTTGTATGAGTGTGATTGAAAGGCTATTAGCCCTAAAATTATGTGTCAAGAAAATTTAAAAAAAAAAAATTTAATTTCTTAAGCTTCCATTTAAAAAAATTCCACTTTTCCTGTAGGATCTCTTGAAAATCAAAAAATACTAAGGAAAAAAAAAAAAAAAACAAGGAAAAAGCTGAAAAGCACATGTATTTCATCTTGAAACCAAAATATTGAAATGATACTTCAATATCAACCTGGAAAGATAATTTGTTTGCCTAATGTTCTTAATAATTTTTATTGACCTTACTCCTAAATGCATTTCCACTAACATAAAGCTGCTTGGGACTTTCAGGAGGTTTTGTCTGGTGACTTCTTGGAGATGTAATTGGCTCAGCATTTTTGAGCTGGGAATTGGCATGCTGGTAATTCCATCGAAAATCTGACAAAGCCAAGTGGTCTCATTTCTAGGGAAGAAAATAAAGAGTTTTGGCAGAATTATGTAATCTATGCCTTTTAAAAAGATGTGGTTATGAAGGAAATCTGATTGAAAACTAACTGGCACATTTAGTATAAATAGCAGTTAATAATGAAGACCATCAACACTGGAAAACAAACAGAAGGATCCCCCACCAAAAATGGAGTGAAGGTGAAGATGCTGGAATGTGTGGTTAACTGAGCCTGAGCCTTGTCTGGTGTAAGTCTGAAGAAGGGCTGCTTCACCTAGTGAGTAATTTATAACCACCTTGAAATAGAGTCACTTTTCATGATTAATGTTCATTTAGAATCAGTAAAAGTCAGGTTGACACATTATTATGATAGAGGGTGAATTGCTAAATCCTAAATGATTTCCTCTCTGTGATGAAAATGAAACTGGGAGGTACCAAGTAGGGTTTTTAAATGTCAACTTCCTGGATACTTCAAGTGATCTCTTCCATTTAGCAGTCTGATTAGGACCTGGAATTGTGGGCATACTCCAAGGAAAAAAAAAAAAAGTAAGTAACATAGATCTGTTTTAAAGTCAATAATTTTCAGTACTCAAATATATATAAGCTATTCTGTAATAGGAATGGCATTAAGGGGACTTCAAGGGGTCATCCTAATGATTCAAAGCACAACGTCGTTCCTAAAAGGCTTTTGTTAACTTGCACCAAAAATTTCCTGGTGGTAATATAGACTTTAAAGCTTCATTGGTCTGTTCTAGTGCTTGATTATCCTTAACACCAATATGTTTCCTAAGTTCTAGCCTAGTTTCTTGTTGAAATTAATACTCAAGGACAGAAATAAGAATACAAAAGCCAAGATGTTCCCTTCACAAACATAGCATTATTTTATCAAGCACTTCTTATAAATAGATTATTCTAAGCTTGCCTACAAATGATGACACAGCCATTCCTATCCAACAGTTCTGTATTAGAGCTCCATTTTGCTGTATATATTTGAAATGTAAAAAAAAAAAAACAACAAAAAAAAACCAAGCCAAGAATGTCATAACCTTTTTCTATACTTAACAGTCCTTTGTAGCTCCTTAATGTCTTGTTTCTTAATTTCCTTTCTTTTTTAAAGATAATTTATAACTTACTTAGAAATTAAACTATAACTATGGGGATCCAGGAAAGAGTTTTTATTTGCCCTCATATGTTCTCATACAATCCCTTTTCTTTAAACTGATATTCAGACAGTTATCTTGGAATGCTGTTTACATGCAGATTAATCTAGAGCGTTTCCAGGTGGGATCACATGGCAAGGTAAAATTAAACTTCAGCTGCTCTTTATTGTAGCATGTAAGACTGCTTAAATTTATTGGACTGTAAATTGTGTTTCAAAACAGAAGTTTTTGGAAATCAGTGCATTAGAATGAATATAGGTCTTTCCTGTGATGAAAATGCCTAGATGCATCCAAGTCTCATGGTAGACAGTCTGCTTTCATATCTGTACTTAGAACCTTGTGTTTTGTCCCTACTCTAAGTTCAGATTAATAAGTTTTCCATAATGCTCCGTGTTCATTATTTCATCCTACAAGAGTGGTTTTTCAGGCTTGCAGCTGTAACAAAATATGTTATTCACTGCAGCAGTATGTGAATAATATTTTGTCCTTTAAGGGAAAAATTCAGTGTGTATTTTTCTCATAAAGAATTCCTAGCAGTTTGCCCTGTGTAGACATTTTTAATTACTTTAGGCTATTCTATGTTCCCTTCCCTGCTGTGTATTATTTATTGTGACTTTACTAGGCTATGACTGGGAGGGAATCAAATGGACAGAAGAGCAGACAAATCTAGTGGCAGAAAGTGATGTGCTGTGTGTGTAGAAGATGATGCAATTAATTTTTCCTTATCTTCAAAAGGATTTGGGATCTTTAAACATAGGTGTATCCTGTTGGTTTAAGTATTCTACTGTTCTGCCTCAATCCAGTTGCTGCTCCAGACATTCATGGGTATCCCACAGATTCTTGATCCCGTCTGCCATTCCAGATCAGATACTTCAATTTCACTAACACATCTTAAATGACCCCCGATCCAACTCCTATGCCAAGACAAAGTTCAGGTTTTCCTTCACTGTCAGTCATCTGACAAGTCCTTTTCCACTATCTGTTAAGAACCTAAAGATTAAAATGAAAATTTACAGCATTTATTTTAGCTTCTGTATCTAAAGTTTAGGTGGATGATCTCAGATAGGATTAGTCCTACTAAATGGTCCCAGGTTTGCATGTGTGTTATTGCCATCCATTGCAGATATCTTAATTTTCTGAAACACTCTTTGGTTTTCTTTCTTTCTGTCATACTTTATTTTTTAATATTTCTTTAGATTTTTTTTTTTTTTTGTCACATTGTCTTTGCACTCTGACTTGTGATGTGATAATAACTTAACGTGACTGGATTTACGTGACTGGATTGGAAAACACACCAAGCTTCTGGAGATCAGCTGGGTCAAACATCTGATACATACATCTACCTTCTGTACCTAGAAGTCCACGTATTTTTCAGAAGCCTGGTAACATACTATCTATGATGATTAATCAGTTTATGTGATTTACTGGAAAAAGTCCCATATGTAGCTTGCATCAATGCCTGCTGAGTATTCTATGGATTCTCACTGTTTCCTCCTGCTGCTCATCTAATAGCTACAACATTTATTCACCAGCATCCTGGTTGCCTGTGTCTGGCTGAGTGTTTAGCTTCTTAGAAACATATTCATATTCATGTAACATTCTGTTATATTCTTGAAGAAATTGGATTTTCATTGATCTGAATGCAAGTATTTGCCTTTTATATAAACTATGCCCTTCTGACTGGTCTGACTGCCTGAGGAGTTCTTTATTTCTTGACAAGTAAAGGAGAGAAAAAGGAGTCTTTCCATCTTGTCTCTGGATATTTGAGAGAGTAACAAGCAAAGACAGCTTAACCTATTATTTATACGCTGTTTTTAAGTCTGTTTGGTGTTTTGTTTATATTTTAAAGCAGTATGTAAAGTCTCTGACTTTATAGATATGCATTTTCTGTGCTATTTTTATGCACGAAAAAGTGAAGCCTGCTATGTATCTGAGTATTTTCCTTCCTACTCAGTGGACCCTTTTCAAACAGATCCATAAAACAAAGTTATCTAAATTCCTGTAAAGCTGTAATACAGCTTGTTACAATTCAGAAACTACACAGTGTAACAATACGATTTTTAAGCCCATGATAAATTTGTACATGAAAGCTTCCCCTTCCAAAGGAAACTGAGCAGTGTTAGATGGAGAATGAAAGAAAATTAACATGAGATTTTTTTTTTCGTTGGTGGACAGTTTAGGCACAAAAAGAACTTTCACAGAGAAAGATAAACAGAATCTGAGAAGCAAAGCCTAGGAGCTGCTCTTCCCTTCTCCTATCGAACATAACTTACCTAGGTGTTGTTCCATTGACTAAAGGAGCTACAAATACTTGCAGATTTGCAAAATTATACAAAGAAAATGACACATGGAAGAGTCTCAGCTTACCTTCAGAAAATGACATTTAGGGGTACTTGTGAAAATCCTGCAACACGAAAAAGATTTTTACAATTTATTTTCAACTGCAAAGACAATGCAAAAAGCATACTGAAACCAGAAAAGCACCAACATGAGTGAGACAAAGCCAGTCTTCCTAACATTTCTCATTCTCTGGGCACAGCCCAATAACTAATATGTCATTGTACACTGGGGTTTTTTCATGGTCTTTTGGAATTGTCTTGTTGAATCTACCTTATTGTATGCAAGTACAGATTATCAAGAAGGAGGAAAGATAAAGAGATCATAACTTCTGCATGATTTTAGGTGTGTGACTTCTCACACTAAAAGGAAAAGACCATTTTGAAATCAAAACTGCATCCAAGTATAGTATGACAAACCAGTTCTCTCTTTATTGTCATCATCTACTGCCCTCAGGTTACTTGTTCTGAATCAAATTCCAAAATTAAGTATTGCAGCTTTTTTGTTGAACAAAGCTGAATAATTTTTTTCAAGTACAATTTTCTGCCACCGGCTAAAGATGCTAAATTGAAGACAACCTGAAAAATGTATATAATAGGAAGTGATGCAAATCCTGGGAGAAAGGACACAAACACACAAACCACAAACACATCCTTTCTTCCCTGCCGCTCTCCGGGATCAACTGAATATATTTAAAGCAATTGACCAAAAGTAGTAATTATTCTGATTTCTGCTATAATTTTGAGCAGAAAGTTCTTTCTTAGGGATAGTATGTCTATTATGATCATAGACTAAACCAAAAAGAGAGATCAGATCTTTTTGGATGCATTTTTTGAATTTATCTATATAATTATTTTTATGTAATAATCCCTATTACACAATAGCAAATTTTTTTCATCACAAAGGTCAATGTTAAAAAAAACCAGAACATATTTCTTTAAAACTTCACAAAACTTGTAATTTTCTAAATATTTAATTAAAAAAATCCCAACAAAAATTAGGAAGGAATGTGTGAAATTGACATCTTCCTTATTTTCTTAATGAATCATTTGAATGAATAACCTGATCTTTATACTGCAGTTTCTCATGAGAAAATGAGATTTCCAATATATTCTCAACTGATTGAAATGCTTTGAGCCCTGTGTACCTTTCTGATGGTACAGTTACCTGTGATGGATTGGATAGGAACTTCAAGGCTTCTGCATTTTTGGCACTGGAGTTAGTACAAAAGACGAGATTCTATCTGGAAAATATAGACAATTCAAACTGTGCATTCTGTCTTTCCAAATATCCAGATGGCTTTTAAGTATCTCCAGTGAGGGAGACTCCACAACCTCTCTGGGTGATCTGTTCCAGTGCTTGCTCACCTGCACAGTAAAGAAGTTCTTCCTCATGTTCAGATGAAACTTTCTATGCATCAGTTTCTGCCCACTGCCTCTTATCCTATTGCTCAACACCACCCAGAAGAGCCTGGCTCCGTCCTATTTGACATCCTCCCTTCAGATACTTACAGATATTGATGAGGTCCCCTCTCAGTCATCTCTTCTTGAGGCTGAATAGGCTCAGTTTTCTCAGCCTTTCCTCATAAGAGAGATGCTCCAGGCCCTTCATCATCTCTGTAGCCTCTGCTAGTCCTGCTCCAGGAAGTCCATGTCTCTTGTACTGAGGAGTCCAGGACTGGAGACAGCATTCCACAGCAGCCTCACTAGGGCTGAGCAGTGGGGCAGGATCACCTCCCCCAGCCTGCTGGCAATTCTCTTCCCAGTGCACCCCAGGATAGCACCGGCCTTCTTGGCAAAATGGCACATGAACAGTTCGTGGAGAGCTTGTTGTTCCCCAGAACCCCCAGGCACTTTTCTGCAGAGCTGCTTTCCAGCAGGTCAGCCCCCAACCTGTACTGCTGCATGGGATTATTCTCTTCCAGGGTCAAGAGCCTGTATATGCCTGTGTTGAATTTTATACTGTACTTCTCTGCCTGCCTCTCCAACCTCTGCATGTCCTTCTGAAGGGCTGCACAGAGCTCTAGTTCATCAGCTACTCCTCCCAGCTTTGTGTTGTCAGCAAACTTGCTGAGGAAGTATCTACCACATCATCCAAGATGTGGATAAATAAGATGAACATGATTGGACCCATTGTCAACCTTTGTGGGACATCACTAGTTATGGGTCTCCAACTAGACCCTGATCAAAACGCCCTGAGCTCTGCTGTTCAGCCAGTTCTTCAGACACCTCACTGTCCCCTTGTCTAGCTCTGACTTGCTGATGAGGTTATAATGGGGAAAAGCACCAAAAGCCTTGCTGAAGTCCAGATAAACAACACCCACCGCTCTCCCTTCACCTATCCAGACAGTAATCTCATCATAAAAGGCAATCAGGTTGGTTAAGCATGATTTCCCTTTGGTGAATCCATACTCTCTACTCCTGATGACCTTGTTGTTTTCCACATGGCCAGTGATACCCTCCATGAGGAATCATTCCATCACCTTTCCAGGGGTAGAGGTGAGTCTGACTGGCCTACAGTTTCCTGGGTCTTCCTTCTTACCCTTTTGAAGATTAAGATGACATTTCCTTTCTTCCAGTCCTCAGGCATCTCTCCTGACTGCCATGACCTTTAAAAGATGATGGAGAGTGGTCTAAAAATGAAGTCTACAAATTCTCTCAGCACTGATCAGTATCCCATCAGGACCCATGGACTTATGGATGTCAAGTTTGACTAAATTGCCACTACCCAATCCTCCTCAAATTGTTGTGTCCACTTTTGAGAGAAACTAAATTGGAAACTGTTCAAGTCGAGCAGTTAGTGGGCTCCTGTTCATTAATATGTCATAGCCAATGATGGGTCCTCTGGAGAGAACTGGACCACATGCAGAAAAAGAACATTTGTATCACACCATAATAATTTCAATTTCAAGTACATGCTCCTAAGTTTATACCATATAGATATGGGTGCCTCAAAGCCAGTTGCTTTGATAGACTAATTTGTTCCTTTTGTACCAGGTTAGTGCTGTGTAGACACAGTAATAGATAATAAAGCAATTATCTAAGTAGAAGCTTAAATCTCTTGAAAATTCAGTTTTCTACTCATATTTATAATTGCTATATATAAAAAGTTTAAAAATTAAAATATACACACCTTTTTTTTTCATACTGTCATCCTGTGATCAGTTTGGTGAGAAAACCTCTTTGTGCCCAAGTTGCACAAAACAAAGATAAATGCATCAGCTGCCATATTCTGTGAGAAATCAAACAAGAAAAGAGGTGAACAGTGATGACCATTTCATCTCTTTCTACCACACTGCACTGAGGGAAAGTCTCTGATAAAAAGACTTTCCTGTTCTTTCAAGGAGGAAATAAAGACACACAAAAAGGTTCCACAATATTCCCTTCTAATCTTTTCCCTATATTTTTTCTTGTACTAGATTGCTTTTTTTTTCATATTAACTGAGTCTATCTATAGGGGTGTGCTGACTAGTGGGTTTTTTTAATTCATGTCAAAACATATATTTAAAGCTCTTTATATAAGCAATATTTTTGAGTTATGTTGCAGGCAATCAGGGTTATTGGATTTATATATTTATATAGACATATATATTTTTTAGTCACTGCATTAATCGAATTAATTGAATTATCATTTCATACAGCTTTTGGAATTTCAGTGATGCTTGTGACAGGAGAGACTGCCTCCAGTGAGTTAAAGGGAGTTTTGCCATTGTAATTCAGAATTTCCCCATAGTGTCCCTTGAGTTCTGCAATAAAATTTGAAATAATTTATTTCATTGCATTGTATAGGAAAAATTACTTCACTGCTATATGAGTTATAGAAGATTTAAGGCCATCCATGACACAAATAAATGACATGCACAGCTGAATAGATGTAGCGGGCCAGATTAATATTGTGTAACAGTTTAGATCAGGATGTGCTGCATGAAAGTCACCAAAATTTCAGCAGCCTAGGATTGGTGTGAGAGAAGAGGGATGACACAATGAGAAAATTTCAAGTACTGTGAAAAGTACAGGAGCAGTGGTGGAGAGTGCAGAAAAATTGCGTTTGAAGCATTCAGCTGACTGAGCAACTAAAGTTCTGCAAATGATCCCTGAAGGTGGGAAGTCTGTCCTCTGAGCAACCCTGAGCTCAGACTCAGCAGCTTTTACTCTATTATTTAGAATAGCAACATTTTTGTCCTACTTTACCTATGATCTTTAACTCCCCAGGTTTTCACTGGACTGATTCATTGTGATGTATTTATTTCAAATAAGCAGAACTGTATTTCAGAAAGTTGCTTATGCAAATGTAAGGAATCCTTTGCAACACAAACTTGTTGGAATTCAGATCTCCTGTCTCGTCTTCAAAGAAATATCCAAACCATGTAATTTATTTTCTCCCCTAGCTGGTTTCTGTACTGATGTTAATTTTATGGGGTTTTTGTTTGTTTGTTTGTTTTTAAATGCAGTTAGATTGTAAAATGGAAGGTAGGATCTATAAACCATTTCAAGTGGAAAATTTGTATAATACTACTTGTTAGGAGAAAAAGTGGAGTCAGCAATTTGAAATTAATTTAGGTAGCTATAACTTTGTAAACTTAAATCTGGTCCCAAGAAATGAGTGTTGATTAGTTCAACAAGCAAATACTTTGTGCTAAGGTGACGTAGGTTTAATATGTGTATATTCCTAGGATTAGGCCTCCTTCAATGATGTATATGCTTACATTTAGATAAATGCACATATATGCATACACATGTGTGAATGTATATATACACACTTGTGCACATATGTAAATTATTGACTCTCACACATAGATGTATGCATACACATATACATTGATATGTATGTTATGACCTCATAATATTTTGACATACATGTTTGGAAATAAAATCCAAACCTGGGTGCTGAATTAAATTCTTCATCTGGGTCTATGGGATTCTCCATTACTCAAAATACTCCTTTTGTTTCATGAACTTTTATAATCTGGACAATAAACATCGCTGTTTGTGACTGCAGTGGATAGCAAAAAAAGATAAGACCTATGTTTCATAGTGGTTCTGCTATAGAAAGGCAATGAATCCTATTAATATTCAGTTTTACAGTTGACTTACCCATGTTCTTCTAGTTTAGTGGACTCCTTTATTAAATACTTTTACAATAATTTAATGATTAGTGATTTCACCAGAAATTTCTTTCAAATCTTAAATAGAGGATAAGAACAATTATGGTCTGATCTCTTAGATTTTGCAAACAGAACCTGTTTAAGTAGTCTAGGCAATTCTCTGAATAGTAATGGTTTCATTTCAGTCTCACAGCCATTTTCCTTCTATGTTACTTATCTAATTAAAAACCTAGAGTTTTGTCTACTATATAATAAAATCTGATTCAATACCCTTCTACTACAGCTGGGACCTCTGAAATAGATAATGCAATGAGAAAGTTTATCATGGGAGTCTAGAGGGGATCAGCCACTTAGATAAAAATTTTGCAATCAGTGGAAAGAAATAACCATTATGAACATACAGTTAATCTGACCTATTTTAGAGATCTATTTGCAAATAAGACAAACCACATTCTAGAGGAGCAGTTCCTCAGATACGAACACTGATGTTCAGGCAGATGTATCCTGGCAGCAGGGTCTATTTCCAACAGACGTTAAGTGACAGCCACTGTAAAATGTTATTCCATATGCACCAGGAAGTAACTTTTAAGCACATTTAACTTTATTTGACAAAAATGTTAATTTGGTTTGGTCTGCAGTTCTCAAACGGCTGCTGTGCTCAACAGTAAGTGTAATTACCATTTGGAGTGTTAAGTTCCATAATTATCTTGAACTAACAAGAAGCACAAGATGGTGTCAATTTGTTTTTTCAGTTTTATTTGTTAGAAAAGGCACTAATTGGGACACGAAAAATAGAATAGGGGAAAAATTTTGGGTTGTTTACTCAGATACAACATAACCATCTTGAAGTCACAGACAACGGTTTCAGAGAACCAGGTTTATTTTTTTAAAGATGGACACTGAAGCAGGTCAAAAATCTACATTAAGGACAAATTTGTTCATCTTTAGCTTGCAAATACTAATTCTATTTTAATTGCATTTACATAATTTATTATTTTCAATTCTCCACATTCAGTGTTTTTAACCAGGGCTTTTTTTGTTTGGTTGGCTGGTTGGTTTAGTTTGGTTTGTGTGTTTTGGTTGGTTTTTGTTTGTTTGTTTGTTTGTTTGTTTTTAGTAAAGCAAAAAAGGATTTTTGCCAGGATTAGTGATTAATTTAGGAATAAAATGGGTTTCCTTTTAGGTTCTTCTTGAGGAAGGCCCCACACTAATCTTCTCTTTTCTTCGCCTTTCAAATCTCACTGGAAAGAGTAAAAAAAAAAACCAACATAATAGAGATGAAAAACAGCCTGTAGAATTCTGCCATAGATTCAATGATTGACACAAAACTCATTAGAAAGAAGAGAAATAGGAACACTCCTGATTCACTGTATCTGGAGTTACTGATGGCTTCTAAATTGGTTTTGTCTCTCAGAAGAGTTGGTGCCTTGAATTTACTGAAAGAATTTTACCCTCAGAAGTTGCAAGCAGATCGCAGTTTCCCTTGATGACCTGCAGCAAGCCTGGCAAGAAGCTCTGGATTGCCTAAAGACAACTTATATTGTTTTCTCTAAATCCTATACCTCTGTGGAGATAGTGAATCTATCCTTGTTTACTTCCCTGTAGTTCACAAAAAGTCATCATAACACACAGAGTCATAATCTCAGTTATAATCTTGAGGGGGAAAATACCACAGGAAACACATGTAGATTAAATTAAAACATAACACATATAACTGGTAATATCCTCGTTTTCTTTTAGACACTGTCCCTAGTATTTCCCAGAACTGGGTAGCTGGCTATATAACAAGACAGGGCTGTCTCTCTTAAATTTAAACTGAGGTCTTACATAATTTTAGAATTAGGCCTTAGGGCAGGTGTGGAAATAACCTGAACAGTTTAGGAAAATTCATTGTCTCATACTTCAGTGATTTGTTCTGTGCTCAAAACCCATCAGTATTTAGACCTTTTGTTTGCTCTTGGTTAATGGAAGGAAAACAGGGATCTTCCACCAGCTGAGAAGGTGGAGGATAAAGAACTTTGTGAGCTTTTAGAGGAACAAAGATGAAACTGTGGAGAAAAAGGGACAAAGCTGATGTGGGAACTAGTCAGAGGGTATAAAATAATTCTCATAATCCACACTATAGGCTGTTTGGAAGTATAGACCTTGAAAGCTTGGGGAGTGGGCCCAAGGAAATCCACAAGGAAATCAAACGTACGTCTGTCAAAACAAGAGTGAGGAAAAGCATAAATTTCATTGTTCAGATTTTCCTAGCGAAGAGTAACAAGGAACTGAAGTATCCTTGAACTTTGAGAAGCTCCCAGTGGAACATAGCTGGCAGAAATGATCAAGGCTGTTAAATTTTCTCTTTAATTTCATCCTAAAGGTTTGGACAAAGAGACAGAAGCAAACCTGCTAACTTCTTAGAACTGCCAAGATGTCTTTAGATAAATTTAACATTCAACTAACTTCATGAACACCCATTCCCAGTATTAGAAGCCTTTAGGAATCGCAACCAACCTTCCATTTATATAAAGAGCAAACCAGCTATCCATGGCCGGTCAGAAAGATGTATCTGATGCATCTGAGCTCTCCAGCTCCCTGCAGCAAAACTAAGGAATGAAGAACTGAGTTTGCATTCATGCTATGGCACTACTGTTTTCTATCTCCTGCAGCAAAACTCTGGAATAAACTGGACTTGCTTTGATGTAGAAGTGCTAACTTGTTGATAGCACCACAGATATATTTAAAGCTCTTTTCCTGAGGCAGCTTTTCTCTATTGTTGACAGTAAAATGGATGGTCTATGAAAAGAGATTTTTGTGCCACTATTTGTTTTCAAAACAGTTGGGGAATAATGCGAGGACCACAAAGCAGATTCAATATTCTTTAGGCTTCTTTAAAATGAACAAAACTAAAAATATGTAATTCATGCCCAAAGCAAATTTAAAAATACTGAAAGTCGTGGCATTGGAGACAATGTCTTTTTCCCGCAGAGCAATAGGCTTTTTTCATGCTCTTATCTCAAAATGTGTGGTGTCCACTCAGTTGTGCTGAACAGAACTTGGTTAAAGCTCTCTTCTAATCAGAATTTTTTTCTGAGAAAGTCACTTGGACAATTAAACAACAATTTTTTCTATTTCAAAAATA